GTCGTTTTGGTTATTTGGCCGATTATTGTTTTGATTTGAAAAAGAAATCTTATTTGCCAAATATTTCTAGTAGACCACATGTTTTTAAATGTGATATTTCTGGTAGGTTTGTACATCTTGCTAAATTTTATTTTGATTCGCAAAATGCTCCAAATTTACAATTTTCTCCAAAAAGACCACCTTTGTTTAATGATATTTCTCATTTGCAAAATAATTTTAAAAGACAATCTTTATTTGCAAATGTTTCTCGTGCACGAGCTAATGGTCCACAAAAATAAATGGATCTCTTTCATTGCACAAATTACAATCGGAAGGGTCATTTGAGTGAATATTGTTTTGACCGTGCTAGTGCACCATATGCGCCCAAGAGGATTCATAACCCTAGGGCTTTGAACTTAAATGATAGGGGTCATGTCCCTAAACTTTTTGGTACCAAAAATTCTTGGGTACCAAAACAAATTTGATTTTTAAACCAAGAATTTTAGTGTTTTTCTTTTTTTTTTCTTGGTTTTGAAAATTATGCTTTGAAATCTTTGAATATGAAAACAATTTTTCTTTGATTAATTATTTTATTTTCATGACTATTAGTTTTGATTTTAAATGAGAGGTTTGTAGTTATATACCCTCCGGGTTTATTGGGTGATTATTCCCAAATCTTGTTTACCGGATGCTTAAATATTTATATGGGTTATTACTAGCTCAAGAGCTAGATATGGTGTTCTCATTGTCTTTATGTATGTGAGTTGTGTTTAGCATTTTTTTCCATCTATGCTTGCTCACATATGTTTGCCATGATCTTCATTTCACTGCTCACATATTCTATATGGCATTTTGATAGGGGGAGCAATCCCTATATCTTTTTATGTTTGATACTCACCCGTGCTTATTGATAGGGGGAGCTTTCGCTCTCTTATTCTTTTTGTCCCCTTTTTGATGTTGTCAAAGGGGGAGAAATATTGTGAGTATATTCCTTCTTGTTTATATGCATGATATATTATACTTTGTATATTCATTTCCTTTCATGCATATATCCTTTTTGTAAATTGTTTGTCATCATCAAAAAGGGGGAGATTGTTGGCCTTCTTATTTTGATGATGATTTACAAACAATTTATATCTAATATTGTTTGTCTAGTGCTTGTGTTTTATATTTATTCTAGACAAACAATATGTTGGAGGATGAATGGAATAACGCTTCAACGACAATATCAAATGGAGGTTGGCAGAATTGTGGAGTGAAGCTTATGCAATTCAAGTTTAAGATCCAAGTTCAGCTTCATCCGTATAGTGTACCAAGTCAAGCTTATTGAAGATCAAGATTGCTTGGGTATATTAGTTTAGATTTATATTATGTGTGTTCAATACTTTAAGCTCGATATCATATACACACACATTTTAGTTTTGGTTTCTATGTATATATAGTTTTATATATACATACAAGTTTTTAGTTTCTATGCATATATATATAGCTATATATATATACATAAATGTTTTTGAGTTTCCATGTTTATAAATATGAGATTACATATTTGTGTTTTAAAAAATATTGCATAGAATATGCATATTTGTGAAAATATTATGTTTCTAGTTTATAGACTTCATAACAACTTTTTATATCTTTTATTAAGTCTATAAGAATGTTTGAAAATGTTTCAAAGTTGTGTTTATGTTAAAACATCAAATTTCATGTATATCAACTTTTCATGTTTTGGACATACTTACAAAATACATGAGTTTTCACAATTAAGAAATGCAATTTGAAAAATTTCTTCTTTTACATGCTTATATTCATATATACAAACATTTCCTCAAGTTTTACTAATTTTGGAATTGTTTTGTTATTTTCAATTGAATTTACAAAACCGAGTTTTCAGCAGTTTTTTAGAAACTGTTTATCTGTGTTCAAACATTTATTTCTCTCAACTGGGAATTGATTTTTCAGAAATTCTTTCTCTAACATGTTCATCTACATGTCTAGAACCTTACCTAAAAATTTCATGATTTTTGAAGTTTATTTACTATTTTTAATTGATTTTATAAAGTCAGATACGCAAAATTCCAGAAGTGTCAAAAACTGGAAACTACCTGTGCATGTTTGCTACAGTGCGGTCGACCGCCACGGTCGACCGTGCTACCGTGCGGTCGACCGTACACAGTCCAGAGAGAAGTTTTTGAGTTTTTCTTCTCACGGTCGATCACGACGGTCGACCACCAATGTTACCGTTGTACAATAACGGTAACTTGCTGATTTTTGTCTTTTAGTGGTTTTTTGAGATTTTTGGGATTGTTTTCTTCTACCCTATATATACCCCATTGTATTTATCATTTCATAGACAATGAGAGAGTTTTAAAATAAGTTTAAGAGGGTTTTATAGTTTGTTTTAAGTTTGGGGTTTGTGTTTACAAAGGATGAAGCTTATGTTGTCAATTGAGGGATTCATCCTCAATCTTCTTCATCCTCTCCTTTGTGTTTATAGAGAAGTTTTCTAAACTCTTATCTAGCTTTACATTTACTTAGTTATTTGATTATCATTCGTTAAAGCTAGTTTTTATATTGAGTTTAGATTTGATTTTATTTTACTCATTGCTTACACACACCTACATGAGCTTATTGTATTTTCATACATAGTATATTTGGGTTGGTGAGAGTTGTAACAATTGAGTGTAAGCTTTCGTTGTGTTCTCATCCATATTAGAGAACAAACAATTGTTGTAATTGTGCTGTAGTGTGAGGAGTGAACGTTGATTGGTGAGCGTTGAAAACCGACATTGTGAGTGATTGTGAACGTTGATATGTGAGCGTTGAAAACCGACATTGTGAGGAGTAAACGTTATTCGGGTGAGCGTAGAAAACCCGGTTGTGATAGTGGATTTCTCCTCGGGAGTGGGGAGCGGAGACATAGGACGGAAGGTCCGAACTCCGTGATCATTTGAGTGTGTTTGAGTTTGTCATTGGCGCATTTGCTTTTGCATTTTTCTTATATCGCCAATTGTGCATTGCTCATTTTATTTCATCCACTATCTTGTTTATGTTTATTTCACCCTTGTGTTAGTTTATATATCCTTGCATATATTTTTATCATATAGGATATATCTCATTGTTCATATTGCTTATCCTAGCTCATATATCTTGTTGTATTTCATACTTGCTAGGATAACTTGTTAATTAATTTTAATTGGCATAAAATCGGAATAGATTAGCATAAGATCCTAATCACCCCCCCTCTAGGGTCCAACAATTATGAAGCCACGTGGGTCGTACGAAGTCCAAGAAAACCATCAAAAGAGACGTTACACTGCCTCACTATTTCCGAGACAGTCTACCTGTCCCGAGGCAGTCTACCTGTCTCGTATTTTCGAGATAGTTGACACTATCTCGGAAACTATGGTCTCTTTGAGTTATTATTTTTTTGTTTTCCTTACTTCCTTTTTTGTTTTAGCTAGCCCTCGGACGATCTTCCTTGACTTAGACAATGACGTCCTTTGTCCTCTCTTCGTCTTGAGCTGTGTTCGGGAGCCTATAGGCAATTATTAACGCCTACAACAGCTTCGCTTTTCATGCCGGATTGCAAATTTTTCAAGGTTAGTGGGCTGTGCCTCGATCCTTGAGATGCCGCTTCGGATTCTGAGAATTAATCTTGGTCGTTGGCCAAAGCTCGATACGGCCGTTCAGATTCTGGTACCTGTAGATTCAGCTGCCTATATACAAAGCCAGGGCCAGGGAAATGGTAGTTATTGTTTTTGAAATTCCCTTCTGAGAACTCGAGATCCTTCCCGCCCATCTTTTTCTAGCGATTACTTCTCCCTTCTATGGTGACATCAGATCGGGTAGATCGACAGGCTCTTCTTGTGGAGTTTCACTCCAAGGTGACCCAGGCACAGATGAGGACACTCCACGGGAGGTTTGATATCCCCCGAGAGTATGAACTGATGGCCCCGATGAGGTCGGAGGTAGTCTATGATCATGGACCGGATCAGGCTCCACTTTACTTGAGGCACTTGGAGTTTGGCCTGCGGCTGCCCTTGCACCATTTTCTTGAATAATTTTTCACGACTATAGGGGTATCCCCGGGGCCTTACTGAAAAAACAGAGGTGGCGATAGCCTGCAAGGTTGGGTAGGACTACCTCTCGTCACAACTTTCAGTTGAGATGAGGAACCCACCCAATCGCTTCCACTATTCTCCCATCGTAGCCAAGTGTTTGGATGAGTTAGTGGAGGTGGAAGCACTGGGGGGGGACTCGATCATGGCAAGGAGGAGGGGGAGTTGGACGATGAAGCTCCCAGGGCTCTAGGTGGGAAGACCGACGAAGGAGGTGACTGTTCGACTCCTACGCCGGCTGTTACTAGCGGCTCATTGCCTTTGAGTCCGGGAGCACGAATGGACCTCTCTTAGTCTCCTAGGAATTTTCTGTCTTTCATTTTTGTGTTGTATATTAGTGTATGTGTACTTTGTAGATACTCCCTGTGAATGAATAAAAAGATATTTTAAGCCAGAATTACTCTCTTTGTGTTGTGCAATCTTATTTTGGATCTCCTAGGGGAATTAACTCTGCCATGGGTTTGTGGATAGGACTGCTAACTCAAGGGGGCTTGTTCTTCGTAGAGAAGATACGTCTAGAACACGAGCAGTTATTTCTGTTCTCTCTCTCTCTCTTGAGCCAATCGAGCCGACGGCTCTTGTTATTCGACATTTTAACTCCTTAGGGTGAGTGCCTGAGAGTTTTTCTTTTAAGTCCGTTGTTGGCTCTGGAGGGTCGACTAGGTCTGACGGACTGTTCATCGAATAGACATTGTTTGGTTGACTAGGTCTGGCAGACTAGTTGATATATGTTCACCCCTCAATTTATATTGGGAACAATTTTATCATATATGCACACCATGGTGATCACAATAGTTGTCCCTTCTTCTTTTAGTTTGAACCAAATACTAGAAAATAAGGGAATCTATTCACCTATCAATTACTTTCTTTTGTTTTTCAAGTTGAACCAAACTTAAAAAAGTTGTGGACATTACTTATACCCCACATTTTTTGGCCAAACAAAAACAAGAAATACTTTTCGATGAAAGTAAAGAAAACACGAAAAAAAATATAGGAAACATGTTCTTAGAAAGTATGGAAAGCAACCAAACAGGCCCGTACTCACTTCTGTAAAGCTGACCGTTGGTGTACTGCCTAAATGCAGCCTTTCTCGCTCCTGCATATGCTTCTAACATGACATCTCAAAATTATACCCAACCAGGTTAGGCATGTACTTCGTCCGTTTCGGAAAGTTCTCAGTGGACTCCAAAACTCTAAAAGAAACATACATATTGCACAATTAGTTTGCTGTCATTTTCTGTAATTTTCTATAATTAATACCTGTTATTGTACTCGTATCACAACAACTATTTTTTGTTCTTCATAAGCTTTTATCACTTTGTTAGTTATAAGAATTAGACAAATTGTAGCTAAATGCCCTATAGTTTCACCAACATTGCACTGAAATGACCTCTATTTTAAAACCGAGCAAATAAATGCCCAAAATATTTAAATATTACAGATAAATACCATAAATTAGAAAAGAACCCAATTTATCTAACATATCCAGGAACACTACATAACAAAGGGTACTAAATTGTAACTTTTAGAAACTTTAGGATATTTAAGTGAGACCATTTACAATCCAAACGTATTTATATGCAACATCGAGTAAACAAGAGGACATCAAAGTGCAAATTTTGAAATGTAAGGCATTTGTCTACAATATTTAAATATTTTGGGGTATTTCTTTGCTCAGTTTTAAAATAGAGCTCATTTAAGTGCAATGTTAGTGACACTATAGGGCATTAAAGTGTAATTAGCCTAAGAATTAAGACATTTTATCTATCACTCTAACAACACGTAGTTATTTTAACCATGGACCATGGTAAGAAGCCCCTATTGAACCTCAAAAAAATGTCACACATGAACCATTTTTTGTTCAAATACATCAGATACAATCCAAATATACCTGCCGGCACGCACACACAACAATGGGCCATCAAGAGGAATAAACATGCAATTATTTACTAAAAAACATGATAAATTTACATTTATGACATTTGATACATTTACTTTAAAAAAATTAGAATATGTACATTTTTTTTACATGTAATTTACAAGCCTGTGCAGGACATTGTACAGAAATTACCTGAAAGTCAATTTACCTGTTGTGTGTTTATCTACTCAGGCAAAAGTGGGAGCCTAGAAACACTAACACCAGCATTCCCACTGGTTGGCAAATTGATACCCTGTTGTTTACTGCGCCTTGATGCAGTGCATTTAACAGTTCTCTTGTTTAACTTCTGAGGAAGAATCTGCAACCTTGAGTTTAATTCTGTGCCTGATTTCTCTGCTGCTAGCTGATAACTTTCGACAAGCTCCAATTGACGAGCAATTATCTCTGAGCATCTAGGCAGGAGTTCTACCGGTTCTCCTCCGGGAATAACAATATATTCAATGGCTAGTCGAACCTCCTGAGAAGTATCAAGGTTATTTGAAGTGAGAATTATGTTATCGAGTAACATATTTGTTGCCATATATGTGATTATAGGAACGTGATGCATAAACATACATAGACAATAACAGAGGGAAAGAAGAGGACATCAAATTTTGGAAGCATATCCAACGTAACAACTAAGCAGAATGTTTTGACTGTAGACTAAATTCAACAAATAAGGAGAATCCACAAGATGAAGGACTTCAACGTTGAAATTAATATCTACAAAGCCTAACGCCCAAATGTAACGGACAAAAAGGTAAAAACAGATAACAATATCGTTTGTGCAGGAAAGGGCCATATATTCTGAAGGATGATGCAACAAAGCAACCGAACAAATACATTTTCTGGAGTACCAAATAATCTGTATTGCTAGCTTTCTTTGGGAAGAGTAACCAGCAATTACAATATGAAGCTCTAAATTATGAGAATAGGAGGAGAAACGAACCAATTTGGAAGTTGCCAAAATAAGTCAGTTGTGTAACGGCTTTGTTATGGAGGTTCATCCAAAAGTCAGTTGTGTAACAGCTTTGTTATTGGTGGCATTTCTGCATATGCAGCTTTCAGTGATACTTCCTGGAAGGATTATTTTGGCTTCAAATGGCTTTTTCTCTAAGGCTCTAAAGTCGATTACAGGCTTGATAAACTATTCTACCACGATATCAAGCATTCACAATTCTAATATTTGATAATAATAATAAAAAAGTTTTACACCTCAAATATTAAAATATCAATGTTAGCTACAAATAAGACACAACAGACTGAGAATATATATCTTAGAGACCCAACAGAAGCATGTTTGGTGAAAGATGAGACCTTCTAAGGTCATAACAAAGGCTTGGCGCAAAACAGTGGTGTCTTATGATTATTTGCAATTGACTATATAAAATAGAAAATGCCCGATTATCCATTTATGTGCAATGTAGTCCATATCGTCATCTGACGTTGACCCACCACTGCTGCAATCCTTTTTATTAATTTTTTGGGCGTGTCATGATTATCGCTTGTAATTAAGTCCACAAAATAATGAAACATGAAAACTATCCATATCCTATCTGTTAATATTAAGACAGTAAGACAACAATGGCAATCCCTTTCTATTTGGATTCACTAAGCCTCTATGCAAAATATTCGGTTTCCCTACGTAATTCCTACTTTATTCAGCTTCAATAGGGAAATATCCTTTCTTAAACTAATTTTCTATCTGGGAACAGTCTTTGCTAAACTGAAACTTGAAAAGCATGAGATATCCTTTCTTAAACTAATTTTCTATCTGGGAACAGTCTTTGCTAAACTGAAACTTGAAAAGCATGAGTACCTACAAAAACCATAAACCAAAAACTTCAGAGTATAAAATAATTCATCTAAGATACTAGATCAGAAATGATGTCAACTTAGGAAAGTGGATTCCTTTTGAGGACATTGATAATTCATCTAAGATACTAGATCAGAAATGATGTCAACTTAGGAAAGTGGATTCCTTTTGAGGACATTGCAAAAGCACAACATAAAAAATTATAAAAGTGATGTCAACTTAGGAAAGTGGATTCCTTTTGAGGACATTGCAAAAGCACAACATAAAAAATTATAAAAGTTGAAAAAGAAGAAAAATTAAGGGTGGAAAGAAAAATAAGGAGCCACTCAGTAGCCACAATAACTACTAAACGGGAAGAGCAGAAATGATGTTCAAGATTTATACAAGTAGTTCCAGTCTGGTGTTTGGAAGGTAACAGGTTGTATACAAGGAGAAAGGCTAAAAGAGAAATAGTAGGATAGCTGTTCTGCATAAACTGAAAGAATGTTTACCCCCTCATGTTGAAAACGTCGTTTTACAAAACATGTTACATAACTCATTATTTTGCATTACGTAACATAACAAATCCTAAACATTATGTAATCTTTCGAAATAACTCATACACGTCTTAGATCTATGTTATTACAATAAAGCATACGCTATTTCAATAAAATGTACGTTACTTCAATATAATACGTGTTATTTCAATATAACATCCATTATTTCAATAAAATTTATCATAGAGACTTCATAGAGTATTTTCTCTGCTGGAAGCTTGAAATTGTTAAGTATTTACTTTTGAATTGTTTGTTAAGCCTAAATGGCTTCCTGTGGTGAGATCATTTTTCTTAGTGATAATACGTTTGATAATTGTGACAATTATATTTATTAAAACCATTGTACATATGTATTTATTAAATATTTAAATAAATGATAAAAACATGTAATAAACATTACATGTTACCTTGTTTTGCTTTTCAGGGTCTGAATACCAGATTGTCCAATAGGGTGACACTCATTACTAACGAGGCCTAAAAACTGATGCCGATGACAACAAGAGCTAAAAGTTGACACATTTAACCAATAAGGCATATTCTGATTGCCGGAGTTTTGATTTAAACAGCAAAATTAAGGGTTTGTTTGCATATAAACCCTTCAAATCTCCCATACTCACAAATTTATCTTCTAAATTCAAATTTTTGCAACAAAAAAAATCCCCCTCCCTCCCGCTCCTCCCCTCTCCTCTCCCACTCCCTCTCCCCTATCCTCCTTCCCCAGATCATCACCTCCACCTCCTCCTTTCCTCCCTTCTCCAACCTTACCCCTCTTCTCAACCTCTCTCTCCTCTCTCCTCTCTCTCCTACCCTCCTTCTTGCCATCCTCTCTCTCCTCTCACCTCAAACATTTACCAGAAGTGGAGGAGGGAGTGGAGGAGATAGGAAAGGGGAGCAGGAAAGTGAGGGGAGAGAGAGGTTGAGAAGATGGGTAAGGTTAAAGGGAGAGGAAGAGGTGAGTGTGAGGGGAGGAGAAAAGGGGAGAGGGAAGGGGAGGAAAGGAAGATGGAGATGGTTGGGGGTTGTCTTTTTTTTTTTTTTTTTTTTTGGGTTTTTTTTTTTTTTTTTTTTTTTGGGGGGGGGGGTCTTTTTTACAAATTTTTGAATTTGGAGGGTGAATATGTAAGTATTGGAGATCTGAGGGGTATGTAAGTAAAAAATCCTTAATTTTACCGCACAAATCAAAACTTTGGCGATCGGAATATGCCCTGTTGGTTAAGTTTGTCGCTTTTTAGGTCTTGTTGTCGTCGGTGTCAGTTTCTAGGCCTTATTGGTAAAGGGATGTCACTTTATACGCGAATTTGGTAATTTAGCCACTTTTTGTGTTATAGAGAGTCGAGTGTTGCGTTATGCAGTATCATTATTTTCAACATTAGTTGAAAATTGATCTTAGTTTTTTATGCATGAGGAGACCTGGGCATTCTTAAAATATTAGAACATTGATAATTTACTGAATCACCAAACTGGAGAATGGTAAAATTATGAACAATGTATTGAGAAAATGTGGTAATACCTCCAAGGCATCCATCTCCTCCAAAGAGGGTTTTCTCTTGGGGGCATCATCTTCAATCTCAATATCTCTTTCCACAGAATTAAGAGATTCATTCTTTACATATCCAGAAGAATGCATTTTGAGAATCATTCTGACTGCTTTTACCATCTGTGCCATGGTATTTTCCTGGAAGCAACACAAGGAACTTGATGAGAAATTGAGAATGATTACACTCCATGAGGGTCTGTCACAAGCAAACATTACCTTGATAACAAATACTGGCAGTTTGTAATATTTTGCAACACCACGAATCCAGGGATTTAGTTTCATTTCAGAACTTGATGCAAGAATTGCATCAGCCAATGCAATGTCATCGATTACATCTATATCAGTCTCAAGTCCCATCACTTGTGCTACCTGAAGTAGATCAACTTCCAAGATCTAGCAAAATACAGTGAAGTAATAAAATAAAAAAAGAAAAGTGGTTAGCTTAGAATTTTCATTGACTTGTGTAAAAGTTAGCTTACTATAGATAAATATATTAAGTACACAGAACTTAGCAAGTAGAGATGATGAAGGGAAACTGGAAAAGACATTCTGATGGATAATTTTTAAATATTTACAGAAGTGTCAGCCTTTAACATGGAAAAGATAGAAGAATGACACCATATTTATCAGAGTTATAGTTGAAAACTTAAAAGCATGTGCATCTACATCAAACTGCATGATTCTGTGACCGAGTTACATGCAAGGACATGAAACTGCATGCTCTGAAAGTAGAAAACAAAAATATGACAAGCTACAGAAAGGTCAGTATGACAAAAAATCACACACGAATAAATGGAAAAATATGTTCCCAGTTCTTTATAGCTTTCAGTGTTTTAGGTTTTCCTAGAGCCCACTACTTACCTTGTAAGTGTATACACGCACAGGTGAACTCCTTGCAACAGTTGCTTTTCTACTACCTTTCTTGGTATTTCCTACAATATAGTCACTTTCATCTTCAGAAGTGTGTATCTCAGTATTATTCTCCTTTTCGGCAATGATGGATAGTTCTTCTTTCTTATATTTCTCAGGTAGAGAACTAGAATCAATATCTTTGGAAGACGAATTACGCACTTCAACCAAAGGAGACTTTCCTGTTTTTGAACGGAAAAAACACAGCAATTACATGATTGACAAAATTCAAATAAACAGGGCTCTAAATAAGCATATTCTGCCCTTATGGCAAAAGGAACCTGCAAGAATAGCGTCTACAGTTGCTTCTAGTTTGTGATGAACTCTGCATTGAGTCTTGGACACTATTTCCACTGCACAGGTAAATGTGGGAGGTCCTTTCCTCTCAAGTATTGTCTTTTGAACTTTCCTTTTTCTTGCCTCATCATCCCCAAGTGTAACACTCTGCATCCACACAATCACCAGAATGATTAATCAACCTCTAACTTGCATGTTCCCTGCATCATGCTTTTAAATTGGTAGCAAACTGAATGCCTTAACCTGAGTATTCACATACGATGAATTTTGCTCATCGACTTAGACTCGCTATCACAGCTTCACTAACATTAAACAATGTAGGCTTTCTACTATTTAAGCACAAGGTATGAAAAGAAATTTTACAACAAACAATTGAGGCAACAGTACACAATATTAGAACCATAATAGTTCTCCCATATGGGTACATCTAAATTTCTATTGAAGGCAACTAAATATATGATTTCAGAATAGCTCACGGTTAACGAAGACGATGTGTCCCAAAAGTGATTTTTCTCGGTAGTGATGATAATACCAAAAGAAAGCAGACAGAATCAAGGACTGATAGGTTTCTATTAGGAATGATAAACCAACTTAATAACTTAAAACAAAATGGCTAGAATCTGCTCCTGTTTCTACTTCACAGTGAAATATCAAGTTAGACAACAGAGGGTAGTAGCTGACCTCTACCCCACCAACAAGAGACTGCAAGCATGGGTTTTTAATTATACTCTCAATTGTCACTCCATGTGCGGTTCCAACTAGCTGTACTCCTCTCTGGGCTATAGTACTTGCTGCCATAGCTTCAAGTTCTGTCCCAATTTCATCAATTATAATGACTTCTGGCATATGATTTTCAACCGCTTCAATCATAACCTGCAGAGCCAGTATATTTGTCAAATTGAGTAAAAACTCTAAGCAAATATTGCAAAACAGTTAGGAGTCTCCCTCCAGTAAGAAGTCCAAGCAATGTATATAATTAGAAGTTAAAATTTTATCAGTCAAATGCACTGAATACTCACATTGTGCTGCAAGTCAACATTGGGGACTTGCATTCTCCTTGCACGTCCGATGCCAGAGTGAGGTACATCACCATCACCCCCAATCTCATTAGAAGTGTCTACTATGACAACACGTTTCAAGTGTTCATCTGCAAGCATTCTTGCTATTTCTCTGCAGATAGACAAATTCTGGTCACATCAAACACCAAGACATAAGAGGTGGCCTAAACAAGGCACAAGGAACTTGTATTTTGATAGGAAAAACCTTGTGTCATATAAACATAGCGTAAACTTGTTCCCGTATAGCTTGTGGCCGTTAAAGCATTACCGCTCTCAAGTTATTCAGCAGTCATGTTTTCTGACTAACAATGTCGTGTAGCATTCACGAATCAATATTTTTATGGTATTCTTATAAGTTGCCCGTTATTGGACTTGGATACAACCAGGAATAAAATATAGCATCTATTTGATTTAATCGTTCTACCGCACCACCATAAGCCTTCCGCATGAATTACAAATCATCAAAAATAACAAAGATACATCAATTTGGTATACCCAAGATGAATTTCTAAAGTCTGTCTCACCTAGACAAAAATGCAGCTCCGACACTGACTATGTTTTCAAGTTATTCATTACTTATGCCTTCCAGTTAATCAAAATCCATGGTGTTCTTATCAGTTTTTTTTTTTTCATGACGGTACTCGGGTACAACCAAGTATAGAAAAGTGATAACCACTTCAATTAAATCGTTATAACGCACAATAATAAAGACATGATGAAAATGTTGAATTCTACCTTATCAATGTAGTCTTGCCAACACCCGGAGGCCCAATAACCAAGATAGAACCTCCGCCCTCGACCAAATCACGAATCATCTCCGCACTCCCCGAGATCGCTCGCCCAACTCGACAAGTGAGCCCGATGATGTGCATCTTCCTGTTCCTAATAGCACTGATCCTGTGCAGGGAATGATTGATCCCAGACCTGTTGTCATCCGAAAACTCACCAACCTGCAAAAAAACTAACACCAACCAATTAACTCCGCAAATTCTCAGGAAAAAGAACTGATCAATGATTTAAAAAATCAAACCTTTGACACTGCATGCTCCAAGTCCAGTAAATCGACGAGCTTCTGCGAGATTATCCAGTCGCCAGAGGGGAATCGAGCGATGGGTTTTCTCCCCAAATCCATAACAACTTCAATCAAACTCCTAACCTCTTCATGCTGAGCCAATTCCCTCCTCATTCTCAAAGGGACCAATTCGAGAAACAGCTCCAGCTCATCAAGGCCTCGGCCGCCGACATTGCTCCTCTGCCCCCGGCCTGGGACGTACGACACCGCCGGTGCTGACGTGGGCCCCGGGATGCTCCATCGATCTACGTGTGGCCGGCGAATCGGCTGCGGAGATGGGGGGGTTGGGATCGAGGAATTTGGTTTGCGGGATCTGGGGAATGAGGAGGAGGAGGAGACGAGGAGAGTCGAAGGGGTGCGGTTCAGGCTGTTGAGGCAGCAGAAAGAGGCGAAGCTTAATGTTTCCATCGTTGTCTCTGTCTTCCGTCGATGTGGGACTAAACTTGCTGATCGGAGGTTGGGGGAATATGTAGAGCAGCAGAAGGAATAACGCGAGGGAAAGGAAGATTCGATGGCATATTTTGGCACGGGAGGGTCGAGCTTTTTGGGAGGGACTGGAGCCACGGCTCGCACGAGCGGGGGCTGTGGTTCACAAATTGCGTTGGAGGGGGGGTAGATGGAACTTGAAAGAAAGAAAGAAAGGAAAGACTTTTCTGTTTGGAAACTCTTTGTTTGCGTGCCGTTATGATTGATCTCTCCCCCTCTCCCTCCTTTGGGGAAGTGCGGGGCTTATCTCTGAAATCTCGGTAGTGCGGTGGATGTGAGACACGCGTCCGTTTGGTGGGTAGGCGTTGTGAATGCGAGAGTTTACATGGGGGGAAAAGAGTACGGGTTGCATTTGAGTTTAGAGTTGGGGATATATATTGACTGTGTGATCACTTAATATCAACAGTTTGGCGCCTATCGTCGGGCCCTTTCTTTTTTGAGAAGACATGTCAGGTTTTGAACAAGGGTCCGATCAGTCTTACCCTGTAGAACGACACCAAAGCTACGTTACCCAAGCCTAGGTTGAGGAAACACCTCACAAGCTCTCTCAGTCTTTCAAAGGGCAATTTGTTATCTTTACTGACGAACTTGTCGGCCGACTTCCACATCCACAACGAGCTACCTCAGCTCTTTCTTTGCCTTCTGGAGACCAGCAGACAGAGACTCATACTCCTACCGGAGCTTAGAGAGTAGTTTAACCTCAGACTCCTCATGTTGCTACCAAGCAGATGTGGGATCGCATCGAACACACATCCCTGCCACCGTGTCGATCAGTACATGCTGACGAATCTCGCCAACATCACCACTGTCATCAGGAGACCACTGGTGACAGTCCAGGCCCAGGTCACTTTGGGGACCGTAATAGGGGAGTGGTCTCTAAGACTCTCCTCCATCATCGTGCCTCCCCAGCCCCCTCTATTACTATAAAGGCCTATGGATACAACCAAGTGTATAGACCGATCGCCGATGCCATCGAGGGTAACACCCCTCTCTCAGATGACATCATGAATGCCCCATGTGAGAAGTTTAAGATGCCTCACATGGAGAAGTAAAAAGGCGAGGGAGACCCCTCTGAGCATGTTCAGAATTACTATGATGTGATGAGCATGCTCCAAGTATCAGAAGCTATCATATGTCGATGTTTTCCCATCACTCTTTCGGAGAGTGCCAAACTCTGGTGGAATGCTCTTGAGAAGAAGTCCATTAGTAGCTTCTAACAGCTCACTCAGAAGTTCGTTTACCACTTCCTAGCTAATACCAAGCAGAAGTTGCCCCCTCATGCATTGATTCAGATGAGGCATGAGCCTAGTGAAAGCCTCCGAGTCTACTTCAAAAGGTTCCAGGCGAAAAGGTTAGAAGTCAATGACCTAGGGAGTGCAGTCCCCATGTTCGCACTCGTTGCCGACCTACAGAGCAATGTGTTGGTCAACTCGCTTTCCAAGAAGCCAGTTGCCAACTATGAGTAATTAATGGCCAAGGATCACGGGTACATGGACATGGAGGATGCTCATGCCTATAAAGAGTCGGCCAGGGTCCTATGAGATAGGAGTGGCCAAGAGACCCTCTGAGAGTCAACTTATGTTCTAATCGATCTAATAGGAGTGACCGATGGAGGGACCAACGGCCAAGACCAGCCCTCACAGCCCTCAACACCTTCCTCGCATCAGCTCTTACCATAGTTCAGAAGGAGGGTCACCTCAAGGAGCCTACTCCTAAGATGACGTCATATCCTAAGAACCCCAACATGAGGCATTTTGCCATTACCACAAGTATCACAGCCATCTCACCAATGATTGACGTATCCTTAAGAGGGATATTGAGGACCTGATTGAGAGAGGATACCTAAAGAACATCATCTCTCGACGGGATGACAGGGAAGCTGCTCCAGCTAGAAATGATAAAAGATCCCACTCGCGATTGCCTCGTCCTCAACCACAACAAGATAGCCGACCCTCGGAGCCCAGCCACATCAACATGATCAGTGGCGGGCCCTCGGAGCCCAGCCACATCAACATGATCAGTGGCGGTCCCACTACTGGAGGATCTTCTAACAACTCTCGGAAGAGATATGCTAAGAGGGAGTTGCGGGTCGACCAAGCCAACAAGAGGACGAAGGCAGAAGAGCCCATACCTTTTGGGGATGCCAATCTGCAAGGCATTGAGATGCCTCATGACGACCCCATCATCATAATCGTAGTAATCAATGGCTATCAGGTGAAGTGAATCATGGTCAACACAGCGAGCTCAGTAGACATCATGTATGTCAATGCCTTCAATCAGATGGACGTCGACAAATCTCGTCTTCTCCCTTGTAGAGGGCCCCTCATTAGATTCATCGGCTATTCACTTCTGCCGAAAGGAATAATCACTCTCCCCTTAATAGTGGGAGAGTATCCCAGATAAGCCACCGTCCAAGTCTAGTTCTTGGTGATGAATCTGAAGTTGACCCACAATGTCATCCTAGGCCAAACTGTCTTCCATCTTTTACGAGCTATTCCTTTAACTTACCACCAGATGGTCAAATTTCTGACTCCTAATGGAGTCAGAGTCGCATGGAGTAATCAGCGAGAGGCCAGGTCCTACTACCTACTCTCAACCAAGGGTAAGGGCGTGCAAGACACCATGCCCATTAAAAAAGCCTTCCTCCAGTTAGAGAAAATAATGGACCAGTGGAGGAATATACCGATGAAAGAGATTCAGGAGATACCAATTGACCAAGAGGGACGAAAGACGGTCAAGATTGGGTCCAACCTAGTTGAACCCTTGCGAGGAGCCTTGAAAGAGTTCTTACAGGAAAATGCTGATGTATTCGCCCGGGGACTTGAAGATATGCTGGGGGTTCCCCCTCCAAAGTAATATGCCACGAGCTGGTTGTCGACAGACACACGAAGCCTATTCGACAAAAGAAGAGACACATCAGCCCAGAGCGCCAGAAGACAGCGACCAACGAAGTCAAGTGACTTCTTAGAGCTGGTTTCATTCGAGAAGTCCAATACCCGGAATGGCTAGCCAATGTGGTGTTGGTGAAGAAAGTGTTGAACAAATGGAAGATGTGCGTGGACTTCACCGACCTTAACAAAGCTTGTCCCAAGGATAGCTGTCCTCTGCCTCGAATCGACCAGCTAGTCGACAAGAGCGTAGGGCATGAGCTGCTCAGCTTCATGGATGTCTTCTCGAGCTTCAACCAGATTTTCATGGCAGAGCATGATCAGGAGAAGACACCCTTCATTACTGACTTGGGGACATATTGTTATAAGATGATGCCATTTGGTTTGAAGAATGCCGGAGCTACATATTAAAGACTTGTCAACAAGGTCTTTAAGCACCAGATCAACCACAATCTGGAAGCCTATGAGGATGACTTACTGGTGAAATCAAAGCAATCGTTGGCCCACATATCAGACTTGGAAAAGACCTTCTCCACTCTCCGACGCTGCCGAATGTAGCTCAATCCCGCCAAGTGCACCTTTGGGGTGCAATCAGAAAAGTTCTTGGAGTTCATGATCACCCAGAGAGGTATAGAGATCAACCCCAAAAAGATAGCCTCCATAGAGTGACTACCTAAGCCACGTACCTTGAAAGACATTCAGAAGCTTAATGGGAAGATAGCGGCTCTGGGTCAATTCCTCTCCAAATCTGTCGATAGGAGCCTCCTATTCTTTAAGACTCTAAGGGGAAGCAAGAACATGAAGGAAAGCATGACATGGACGACTGAATGCAGTGTAGCATTTTAGGATCTCAAGGCTTACTTAAGTACCAAACCGCTGCTAAGCCAGCCTATGGGGGAGAGACATTGTACCTATACATGTCCATCTCCTCCGAAGCCGTCAGCTCCATCCTTGTTTGAAGGAGGAGAATATTCAGAAGCCCGTCTACTATGTAAGTCGGATCCTCAAAGCGGGCGAACTCAACTACCCCCTCATAGAGAAAGCTGACTTTGCCCTCATCATCACTGCGAGGAGACTCCATCCCTATTTTCATGCTCATGCAATCATTGTGCGTACAAGTCTTTCTCTAAAGAAAGCGTTGGGTAGCCTCACAACTTCTGGGAGGATGGTCTCCTGGGCAGCCGAACTTAGTGAACATGATGTGCAATTCAAACCCAGGACAACAATTAAAGCTCAACACTTGGCCAACTTCTTGATTGAATCAACCTCGCTAAGTGACGAGCTAAGTAAGCCCTTGCCACTAGACTCAACCAACGCCGACTAGCCACCTCCGGCGGTTCAACCCCCAATCTACTCTACAAATTTGTGCTCACACCCTAGAGCATGATTCACTTGAGTTTGCCTCATGGTGGCTGTTAAAGGTGGAAGGGTCCTCCGGAGAAGCCGACAGCGGAGTGGGAGTAGTCTTGCGAAGCCCAAACAGGTCGACGCACGAACACTCTATCTCCTTTGACTTCTCGGCCTCAAACAATAAAGCCAAGTATGAAGCTCTTCTCGTCGGCCTTCGAGTGGCACAAGCATTGAAGGCAGAACACCTCTATATTCTAGCCGACTCACAATTGGTCATCCATCAAGTCAATGGATGATATGCGGCTAAAGATTCAAGGATGACCTTATATCCCAAAGCTGTCAAAGAAATTTTGACCAGCTTCCTAGAATTCAAGATAGCCCAAGTCCCCTATGCTCTCAACACTCGGGCAGATGCTCTTTCCAAGCTCGGGTCGACAAGCTCAAGGATCAGCTCGGGGCTTGTCTACACTGACACCTTCAAACGACCTAGCATCTCCAAGTCGTCAGAATCCATCATGTAGATGGAAGCATCTATGATGCCTTATTGGTTGGATCCTATTGTCCTCTACCTAACACAGGGCATCTTGCCTGAAGATCCAGTTGAAGCTAGGCGTCTGCAGAGGAACTCACGCTGCTATCTCATAATTGATGGACAACTCTATCGAATGTCATATTTGAGTATCTGTATCAAACTCTATCTGCGATGCCTTCAGCCGTCAGAGGTCAATTATGTGCTCAGGGAGATTCATGAGGGCACATGTGGAAATCATCATGGGGTCGGAACCATCACGCAAAAAATCATTCGCCAAGGGTATTACTGGCCCACTGTATTAGCCGAGTGGTAACTCGTCTTTCATTGCCAGAAGTGCCAATTTTACTCGTCCGTCCTAAAAGCATCCTAATGCCACTAGAAAAGAACCCTAGAGGAGGGGGGGTG